AGCACCAGTGTCGAACAAAACTCGTGTGAAAGAGTGAGAGATAGGTACCATACCCTCAACGACTGGGTTTTTAGCATTAGCTCCAGAACTTTCCCCGGCCATGGTATGCATATGCCCCGGTGCTTTCCCTTTTCCTCTCTCGTTGTTGTTAGGTTACTGGTTTCCAGGCCTGTACTGTTACTGCGGTGGGGTAGACTATACTGATACGGAAGCCTGTGGCTGAAAATAAGAGTAGTTCGGTGGACGGAAGATCAGTGTAGGAGGAATTGGCATCTGTGCAGGCAACTGGGGCTGATAGAAAGGCGTGAACTGTGGAAGTCTATCTTGACTAGGAGCAATACCCCTTTGATTCTGCGGTGATTGCTAGGTCTGTTGGTTCACCTGTTGGCCCCTAAGAGGACAGTTCCTTTTGATATGCCCTAGCTCCCCACAATGGTGGCACTTGAAGCTATAGGGTCCACTCTTCGCACTTCCCGAAGAGCCACTGCTACCACTAGGCACTCCCCCACTACCTTGCCTTTGATCACAGCTTTTTCTATCACTCCTTTGGGGTCCTCCTGAAGTTCTTCCTGAAACTTCTTGACTCTAGAGGAAGGCGATGTGCTCTTGTTCAACAGAGATGGCTGCTGCAACCAGGTCACTATAGACTCGATGCCTTAAAGCTACCACTGATTTTCAAATCACACCCTTAAGACCTTTCTCAAACTTTAGACACTTCATGCGCTCTGATTCAATCAAGGAAGGAACAAAATGAGATAGCTCATTGAACTTAGCTTCGTATTCCCTCACTGTCATATCCCCTTGCTGTAGGCCCATGAATTCCATGGCCTTTTCATCTCGATAACTTTGGGGAAAGAATTTCTCATTAAAGAGCGCTTCGAATTGTTCCCAAGTCATCCCCTCTACATCATGCATTCGCCGGATATGCTTCCACCACGCACCTGGAGGACCTTCAAACTTAAAAGTTGTGAACTCCACCCAATACTCATCCGGTACTCCCATGGTACTTAGATGCTTAGACATCGATTCGAACCAATACTCGGCTTCCTGGGGTCCACCCGCGCTAGTGAATGCGGGAATTGAGCTACGCCTGTACTCACGGAAGTAGTTCTATTTTCTGTCCTCCGCAGGACGTTCATTTTGGGCTCTAGTAGCCATCCCCTGGAAGGCTGCGTACATGGCTTCCATGAATTGCTCATTCGACATCACCGGCGGGTTAGGGTTTCTACGGCGCGGCGGCATTCTTTTATCTGAAAAGAAAGCTAGACTGTTTTAGTGGTTTCCTGATTTCATTCATGTATGCATAATTCCAAACCCTAAGGTTCTAAATAAGGGCTCTGATACCAAGTCTTGTCACGCCCCCAAACCGGGGTTAGTGATGTGGAGGCTTGTTTAGAAACTTAAACCTGTTTAAAAGACTGATTAGCAAATAATGTTGCAAATATTTTAATTTAATTTTTTTTTCAAATCCAAAACATCCAGGTATTTCCAAACAAGCCCCTGCATTCAAGAGAAATTTAATTTCAAGAAGGGTGGTGGAATTTCTAACCAAACCAGTTTAAAACCACGTCCCTGGTATCAAGTCGGGAATTCCCACAGGTGTTTAGCATACATGAATATAAACAAAAGTAAATGTTACATCAACCACAGTCTAGCAATATTTAAGTTTACAATCCATAATCTTTTATGCATGCCTTGAGATAAAAGATAAGAGGAAATACAACTCTTCGCTTCCCGAGGTCAAGTCCACATCACCAGTAGTAGCTACCTACTCCGCACTACTCCTCGCGTCGCCGGGAGGAGTTTAATATATTTGAAAACAAGAAAAGTGAGCGAAAGGCCCAGTAGGATATAATTTTATAAAGCATTTAAAATAAAGGTACTCACGGTCCGAAGACATACACCTGGAACCGGTCATTCCTTTTTAGAAAAGGAAATACTCACATAGTAGAAAATGTATGTATAATGAAAGTGTGCAGCTCATCATACCACTAAACAAGAAACGGTAAAATGTATGTCTAGTGAAAAGTGCAGAGCCATAGTTCCACTAAACAAGAAGTGGATCTGTACGGGTTTCGGGACCTGCCCCCAAGGATCCGATTCCAACATCCCGATCTCTGAGGCCACCATGTTGTGTATCATTTCTTAAGATATTTCATTTTAAGAAATGATACTCTTTAAAATCTCATTTCCAAAATCATTGGAAAACATAATAGCATTATTCATGCTATTTCCTTTAAAATCATTTTCTTTCAACATGTTTTGTTCTAAAACATTTTCATTGGTCAAAACCATTTAAAGTGAGGTTAACAAGGATATGGACAAGAATATCCTACCTCTCGGATGTCAAACCTGGGTTAGCTTTCCGTTCTCCTAGCCTCCGCTTTCCTTAAAGCTTTAATACGTAACCTTCCCCACTAGCTTTATCACAAAAGCAATATCTTAGGAAATATTTCTCATTCCTAAAATGAATTAAGTTCAATCATGTTTAATTGTTTCCTATTAGTGTGCCTTGACTCAAATCCTAGTTTCACAATTGATTTTATAATCCGGTTAGGGGGTTCTTTAAAAATTAGAATCCTATCCATAGGTTCGGTTTTCCTATTTAATTTCAATTTAAAAACAAGTTTTTAAAGAAATTTCGGCAGCATGCCGGCATAAATAGGAAAAATGCTAAACCTGCAATTCAAGTCCAATTTCAATATATATTCTCCAGAATCCATCAAAATCAGTTTCCAATCAATTAAACATGTCCAATAACTAAAAACTCCCAAATTTCATTCAATTCCAACAACAACTATTCAAATTCAAACCCTAACTCAAAATTATTCAAATCTAACCAAAATCAAACTTTCTCAAGCTTAAAATTTGAATCAAAGAGTGGGTTTCAAAGGGTTTTACGTCAAATTAGTTGTTCGAGCTTTGTCTCCCTCAATTTCTCCGTTTTTTGTTTTTTTTTTTTTTTTGTGTGGTGGTTCTCGGCCAAACTGCCGAGAGAGAGAGAGGGAGAGAGAGAAATCCGGAGAAAGAGCAAGGGAGAGAGAGAGAACGCCGGCGAGAGAAAGCCCGGAGAACGAGGTGGCCGGCGGTGGAAGAAAATAGAGAGAGGGGGGGCTGGCGCTGGTGTCTCACTAGAGAAGAAGGAAGAAAAAAAAAAGAAAAAGAAGGAGAGTGGGGGGGCTGGGCTGCACGGGAAGGGAAACGGGGAAAAGAAAAAAAAAGAAAAGAAAAAAAAGAAAAAGGAAAAAGAAAAGAAAATGAAAAATGAAAAAAAAATGCATTAAAATTTAAGTGTATTTTCAAAAACTTTTAAGGTGAAATTATAAATACTGAAAATAATTTAAAGTTCATTGATTAATTGTGAAAATTAAATTAGGCACACTAATAATTCATAGTTTAACATAATTAAACATGTTTAATTTTTTAGGGCGTTACATATTCCTGGTCGAATCATGAATGTTTAATTGGAATTTGATTTTGGCAGTTATCCAACTAAAACAGATGGAGTTCATTTCTTTTGAGTGGGAACATAAAACGCAAAAGGGTATCCTATGGAATTTACAAAAGTTGTATTGGAGTTGAGATATGTCAATAGAAGAATCATGTGTTTAATGGGTTCAAGCTCATTAAAATAAAAATATAATTTTAATTAGATTAAACAGTCAGAAATAAGACCAGTGAATACGAGATGAACTTCTTTCTCTACTAAAAATTCATTTTCAATTCCTTTTAGGGGATTTTTCTTATAAGATTAAAATAATAATTATATTAAAAATTATCTATTTTATATATTTTTTTAATTTAATATAATTTTAATTAAATAAAACAGTCAAAAATAATTGTATTGTTAGAAAAGCTCTGCACGAGGGAGTCCCTTTTTATTATTATCTCAAAATAAAATTAAATAAATATATATATATGGATATGGCTCCAAAAAGTAATGGATTGACTTCCATGTTAACGCAGGTCAAGTCCTTAGAATTTAGCGAGGAATAACACAACAAATACATTGACATTTCAACCAACAACAATTGTAAAGTTTTTATTTGCTTATAAATAGAGAGGAAAAAAAAAAAAAAAAAAAAAAAAAAAAAGACTTCGCAATCAAAAAGGCGCTCTGACTGAGAAACTGGAGTTGTTGTCGTCGTTCGTTGGTTTTTTTTTTTTTTTTTTAGTTTATCTGAACTGAGGAACATTGCCTAGTAAGCAGTGCCAGAGGTGGAGGCGGCGACAAGCGGATGTCACGCGCTTGTGATGCGAGTTCGAAATGGCCTAGAGAAGGATCAATAATGATTTTTTGATTTTCTTTTAGTAAATTGTACTTTTGCATAAATTTTTCATTTCTTACATAATACACCTAAAGCTTATAATTTAACAAATTACACACCAAACTTCAAAAATCAGTATTCAGTAGTAATTAGAGTTTAATAAATTGAGAGTTGAGACATGAGATTCACACATTAAGGCATCGTTCACTTTATAGATTCGAGTTTTTAATTTGAGTTGAAATGTAACATTTTTTGAGGACTTTTCACTATAGTAGAAAAAGTTAATGTAACATTTTCTGAGAGCTTTTTACTGTATAAACTTAAAACTGAAAACTCAAATCGGTAAAATAAACGAGGCCTAAAAATAAATTTATCATTTTTTAACGGTCTATTGACAAAGTGTATTTAAAATGTGATTTAAATTTTAATTTTAATTTTTTATGAGAAAACTATTAATAAACAAATTTTTAATTCAAATTTTTTATAAGAAAAAATTACCGAACAGAATTATAATTTAAATTTTAAGTATATCTACCGACCAATCTCTAAGTAAACTCACGTATAAATCTCATATTTCAAATTGTTAATTTGATATTGTTTGGACTTCAATTGTTACCTTTTTAAATTTTGTGCAATTTATTAAAATTAAAAATTTAGCGTAGTATAAAAAAATTAAAAATGAGTACAAAAGTCTAATTTACTCTTAAGAAAAGATCCAATATATGATTTAGACAAGAACCTCCATACAGCAGTGATCCAAATCCACAACAGAAAAAGAAGACTCCCATAATTTTGTGGAGTCCTCCCTCAAAATCCTCGAACTCCTTCTAAACCGCACGATCTAAGGTCTGTTTTTTTTTTTTTTTCCTTACTTTACTTTTCCTAATATTCATAAGATTGTTATTGATATTTCCATAAAAAGAAAAAGATTGTTATTGATATGTTTTTTCTGCTAGTTCCTTCTGTATCATCAGTTTAACCCATCCTTTTCACTCATCCACACCAGTTTCTCCTTCTGAACAGATATTTTAATTTATGCTTTTCTTATATTTTTGTTCATGATCAATCTGTTTTCTTTTCCTTTTTTTTCCCTTTATGCGTAAAGAACAGTTTTTTTTTTCCCCTCTCAAATATAACATTTTCTTTACTATGACCATTTAATGCCATCTATTGTGGTAGACCAGAAACGTAAGAAAGTTGGTAACTTTTTAACTCAATTATCCATTTTCTTCCTTTTCCAAATTGAAATTGAGAAAAAATGAATTTCACCATCTGGGTATTTGTTTAAGTAGCTTGGAAGTCAATGTTAAATAGTCCTTTCTTTATTTTACACATATAATATTGTTCTTTTCCCTTCATTAGCATATCCACTTTGTTTGTTCAATTATTTACATAACTTTATTCTCATTTAAAACAAATGGTATATTGATTGGCTATAGGACAAGTGTTTTACCACACAAGGCCTACCAATTGTTGCTTTTGTTGTGGTTGGGGTTGGTAGCTAGCTGAGCAGTGAGGAATTTGTGGGATTTAGAGAGAGAAAGAGAGAGAGAGAGAGATTGATGGCTGGTCCAAGAGAAAGCCCAATTCTTGAAACTAACGATATAAAAGAGGAGAGGAGAGAAGAGGTCAGTTTGGATAAAAACAAGCCTGAAGACAAGGAGAGGGAGAGGGAGAGAGACAACAACATGGCTCCTCCTGCTGGCAGTTCCATTCACCGGTCGAGCTCTCGGCCACAGCTTGATCTTAGCAAAGCTGCCATTCAAGGAAATTCTGAGGAGAGAGATCCCACTATTCTTCTCCCTAATCAGTCTGATGACATATCTTCTCATCTGGCTTTGGACATTGGAGGTGTGTCAGTTAAAATTCATGTTCACATCTTTTGCTTTTCGGAAAATTCAGAACCGTTAGATTTTCATTCGTATGATTTCCTCATATGGGCGTACTTAACTTTTGTGATTATTATGTAATTTGACATGAATAGAGGTGTATAAAAATGGTATGTGTGTGTTCTTTAAAGCATAATTCTGATTTAGCCATGATTGATCATTGCCCGGAAAAAAAAAAAATATATATATATATATATATATATTTTAAACTTGTGTTAGATTTGAATTTTTCTTTGGTTAAATGGTGTTGATGTTTAGTTCTTGCTGGGACACTTTAAGTGTTTTCGTGAAATATCGAAAAACTAATGTGAAAATGTTGGTAGGATCTCTCATCAAGTTGGTATACTTTTCAAGGCATGAGGATCATTCTACTGATGATAAGAGGAAAAAGAATGTGAAGGAGAGGTTGGGGATTTCCAATGGTAACCGGAGAAGCTACCCCATTCTTGGGGGAAGACTTCATTTTGTGAAGTTTGAGACACACAAGATTAATGAGTGTTTAGACTTTATATATTCCAAGCGGCTTCACCATGGTGGTATTATCATAACAGCCCCCTTTCATCGTCTTTTATTTAATTTAGTCTGTTATAGACTCTAATATCATGCTTTACTTCTCATGGATAGGAATTGATTCACATTCTTGGCTTACTGATGCTCCGACCAATGAAAATGCCACAATCAAGGTATTTCATGCTTACGACTGTTCTTTCTTTTCAGTTAGTAGTTGATTAGAAATGCAAGTTCAGGTCAGTTCTTTTGAAATTCTATGCAAAAAATAATTATTGTTGATCAGAATCCAAAATGCTCCTAAAATGGACAAATAGGCAAGGGGCAAAAAATCTAGTCTGAACTCATCAAGGTCAACTCTTGTTTACCCATAATAGATTATATCTTGAAAACCTGAATAATTGTCCATAGTAATATCAATCTATTCAATGGCTATGTGTTTGTGAATCACTCATAAGCACCATGCTTATGTGCTACAAGGGCCTTTTCAAGTTCCTAGTTCATCTTTTAGGCGATCAATTTAGCATTTTTCTATTGACTCGCCTATTATTATGAGGTTGGAGTTTTGATGTCTCATCAGTGTCGAATTCAATAAATACATATAGTGGTTGCTTCATGGATGATGATTTTAAGTCAAAAAGCTTAAGTTATCTGGTTTTGTGTTATCGGTTCATGTAGTAATAACTAGTTGATGCTTGTGAGAAGGCCACAGGTGGTGGGGCATACAAGTTTGCAGACTTTTTCAGACAAAGGCTGGGTGTTACTCTTGACAAAGAAGATGAAATGGATTGTCTTGTTGCAGGAGCCAACTTTTTGTTAAAGGTGGACGTTCGCTCAATATTGCATCTCTTATTACATTGGGTTGATCTTTAGTTCATGTGGTTTGCCACGAGAAAAAATACCATTTGTTACATCTGTTTTATTATTTTTGGGTGCATTTTTATTATTTTACCTCCAATAATAAGAACGTTGATTGGATACTCCCATAATTCTTTTAGTAGGCAATTCGTCATGAAGCTTTCACGCATAGGGAAGGTCAGAAAGAATTTGTGCAGATTGATCATAATGAATTGTTTCCCTATCTTCTTGTGAACATTGGATCTGGTGTTAGTATGATCAAGGTACACTTGGCCTTTCCCCTCTCCTTGTTTCTTTTGATTCTCAAGAACTTCAATATAAGTAATGCCTAAGATGTATTATTAACTCGACTTTGGTATAGGTTGACGGAGATGGTAAATTTCAGCGGGTTAGTGGGACAAATGTCGGTGGTGGTACTTACTGGGGCTTGGGAAGGCTACTAACTAAGTGCAAGAGGTTATCTCAATGTTTGAATTAAGACCGTTCTAATAATTCTTGTTTTGCTACCTCTATTGATCATCTTCAGCAACTTCTGCTAATTTGATCCCCTTCCAGTTTCGATGAGTTGTTAGAGCTGAGTCAACGAGGAGATAACAGGACTATAGACATGCTTGTTGGGGACATTTATGGGGGAATGGATTACTCAAAGGTATGTCCTCTTGACCTTCTCGCTAGTAGCATTTGTGCACTATGAGACTGGGGCAGTAGGCTAAGAATTTGCGGGGGGGGAGGGGAGCTTGAAGAGCCCGGTATTTTCTCTCACAAAAAATACACGTAAATAAAAAATGGTTCTAATCTCATAATTCTAATCCATAAACCAAACGGGCTCGAAGTGTGGATCATTTTATTCTCGTTTTTATTTGCATGAGTAAGCATCACTTAATCTTACGTCATATCACAGATTGGTCTCTCTGCATCAACCATTGCTTCTAGTTTTGGAAAGGCTATTTCTGAAAATAAGGAGCTTGGAGACTACAGGCCTGAAGATATTTCCTTATCTCTCTTACGAATGATTTCGTATAATATTGGACAGGTAAGTTTTCAATTACAAAAATTTATGATATGTTAAGAAAATATTCAGTAAGGCCTTCAATGTAGTGTCTCAAGGGAAAAAAAGAGAGAGAGAGAGAGAGAGATGAACTCGTGTCTATTAAAGATAACCTTTTATCCACCTCTTCTACTTACATGCTTGTAGATATTTGCTGCATTTTATGTTACGTCTTTTTCTAGGAGAGTTTTGTTTGTGTCATATATCATTCCTTTTCGTTTGTGAAGTTCATTATATGTTTTCTCTGTTGTTGTGTGGAATATTATGATCCAATAACCAATTTACCGATGCCATGGCTTATATTAGTCTGATTAGACTTTTTCTGCTACAGATATCTTATTTAAATGCACTGCGGTTTGGTCTTAAACGAATATTTTTTGGAGGATTTTTCATAAGGGGTCATGCTTATACCATGGACACTATCTCCTTTGCAGTTAAGTTTTGGTAAGTAGTTTATATTTCAGACTGACTCAAAGAAATTATACTTCTTCCTCGCTTATTCTCTTTTCTATTTTACGGACAAATGTTATCCGAAAATTTCATTTCTTTATAAACTCGGGCATATTTTTGTCAGATTTTAAAATGTTATTTTATTTGGTAGGTCAAAGGGAGAGGCACAAGCGATGTTCTTGCGGCATGAAGGGTTTCTGGGAGCTTTAGGTGCATTCATGAGCCATGAAAAGCATGGCCTTGATGATGTGATGGTTCATCAGTTAGTTGAAAGGTTCCCAATGGGTGCACCGTATACCGGAGGAAAGATACATGGTCCACCACTAGGGGATCTGAATGAGAAGGTAAGCAAAGTTGGCAAAACCTAACATGGGGCTGCTAATCATTTACTTATCTTTTTAATTTTTTTCCTGACCATGTATCCAAAGTAATGCTAAATTGTTGGGTTCAAAGTTGGTTGTTATCCCATTTTCCATAGGAGGGCCCCACAAGTTATTTTATGAAATAGAAAGGTGGAGAATTAAGTATATTGCAGGGATTCTTGGAATAACATTTTATTATTGTTGTTGTTGTTGTTGTTGTTGTTGTTGTTGTTGTTGTTGTTTATCCAAAGCATAACATATCAGAAAGCAAGCGGGATTAGATTCTTGAAGCAACTAGATGGGTATATATTCTATTAGAGTTAGTTTTCTGCACTCAACTTTGCTTTAATTAAAAGCGAAGGGTTCAGAATATATGTTGATGAAGTTGCCAAGAAACTGCTCCAGCTTGGATAAGGCAATTGTTAAGCTTGCCATACTGGGTAACTGAAGTTTTAGCAATCAAATCTAGTCACCTTTGTGGATGATAATGGTTTCTATGTACGTGTTCAAGCACATCAGTCCGTGCTAGAACTAGCCATTGATTTCATGCACCCCGTTGGGGCTGCTATTTGAAATTACTTTCTCAGGTACTGAAAATCTAGTTTATTTCTTTTGACACACTAGCTTTTTACTACGTTCTTCAAGAACACGGCTCTTCTGTGTACATTCCACCCAAAAAAAGAACTTTCTGTTCTTATTTGGGTCGGTTTTGATTCCAAAAAGAAAGAAAAGCCATTCCTTTTTCACATCAGGTATTGTGTTTGATTTGGTAAATTACCTTGATAGCATGGGGCCATAGGCACACGTCTTGCTGTTGAACTTAATAGTTTATAGCTCAGTTTGACTATGCTATAATTGAAGATCATGTAAAATATTCATTTTAATATGGCTCATTTTAAATTGTCTCGTGTTCTTTTTTGTATTATTTGGAGTCCTCGCGTGCAGATCTCGTGGATGGAGAAGTTTGTGCTGAAGGGAACTGAGATTATTGCTCCAGTGCCAATGGCCCCACCTGGAACTACTGGGCTTGGAGGCTTTGAAGTTCCTTCATCCAAGGGAGGTACACTTCGTTCTGATGCCAGCGCTTTAAACGTCGGGGTTCTCCATCTAGTGCCAACACTGGAGGTGTTTCCCCTCTTGGCAGACCCAAAAATGTGAGTTAAATTACAAAATGGAATTGATTCTCTAAGATTAATCACCAAAAAATTGTGTGGAGATGGCATCGTTAGTTAGCCTATCATGTTTCTATTATGATGTTTGATATGATATAGCTTTTCGATTAGTTATCTTTCTGGCTTATATATCACTTGCATGGCTACAGGTATGAGCCTAACACCATTGATCTCACAGATCACGGGGAATTGGAGTGAGTACCCACTATAATATCTACTTATCTTTGAAAACCATATTAAATTACAGTTTTAACCATATCTCCAATTAAGATTTCCTAAATAAGTTATTCTTCATCATATTGGCTTACTTTGACTGTTTATTGTGCTGTAGGTATTGGTTTACTGTGCTGTCTGAGCATCTACCAGACCTCGTTGACAAGGTAAGCATAATATTCTTCTGAAAACACTCCAAAAAAGGTCTCCTATCTCTATCCAACATGTCGACACAATTTTTTATTAGATTAACCAAATTTCTCTTAGAAACTGTAGAGAAAATGCCATGCTCTCTTATGCTAATGTACTTATTTTCACCTTTCTAGAGCCCCAACGGCGCAAAAGGTTTATTAATCCGGACCTTGCACATTCGCCTTTGTTGAACATTCATTGCCTTCATAATTTTCTTTCTATTGTAAACATGGTAGGCAGTGGCAAGTGAAGGTGGAACTGAAGATGCTAAAAGAAGGGGTGACGCTTTTGCACGAGCATTTTCTGCTCACTTGGCACGGTAACTTTACTGTCTTGGAAACCATTCCTCATGATTGTTGCATAATTGTTGTTGAAGCAATATGAAAAGTACAAGAAAATGTTCATATGTCAACTTGTTCCATTTAACAACTGGTTATAGGTTGATGGAGGAGCCTACTGCATATGGAAAGCTGGGGTTGGCCAATTTGCTGGAATTGAGGGAAGAATGTTTAAGGGAGTTCCAGTTTGTTGACGCCTATAGAAGTATAAAACAGAGGTGAAGAATATGTTTACCTTTTTTTTTTCCCCCTTTCCCTTCCTTTCCTTTTGGCCTTTGATCTTTAGTGACAAACTTCAGGGCCACTTATATGACTCAGTTTTTATGTTTGCACACAAGTTTATTTCACTTGTAGATGATTGTGAATATTCTAAGCAAGCATTTTTCTCTGTTCAAAAAGTGGTGTTTTTTTAGTTCCTTCTCTCATAATTGTGCCTTGGATGTGACAGGGAAAATGAGGCATCACTTGCTGTTTTACCTGACCTGTTGATGGAGCTTGATAGTATGAGTGAGGTACATATCAAGTTAATCTTAAACTTTTGCCCTTCTTATTGTTCAACCATGTTGAACTCTGAAATACTTTTATATAAAGTCTAGCCCACTCATGTTGCTTGAAAGCAGTTTCTGTAGGTGAAAGTTTGGTCGAATATTCGTACTTCTAAAAGTTCGAAACCCTCTTTGATTTTCAGGAAGCTAGACTGCTTACCCTCATTGAAGGTGTTCTTGCAGCCAACATTTTCGACTGGGGATCCCGTGCCTGTGTGGATCTCTATAATAAGGGGACCATTATCGAAATTTATCGAATGAGTCGTGATAAGATGCAAAGACCATGGAGGGTAAGTGGAGCAATGACTCATTATTTCTACCTATTTTCCTACGTTTTGCTGCTAGTTGTCATGACCCTTTTTTTCCATGTGATTAGGTGGATGACTTTGATGTCTTTAAAGAAAGAATGTTGGGATCTGGTGACCAGAAACCTCGGCCGCATAAGAGAGCTCTACTCTTTGTGGATAATTCAGGTGCCGATGTTGTTCTAGGGATGCTTCCGCTAGCGCGTGAACTCCTTCGCCGTGGAACTGAGGTAGGTTTCCTTTAAATATCATGACTAGTGCGTAATAATTTCTATCTTCAATTCCCCTACTTCCCATGAGATTAAGTTCCTTAATTGTTGTGCATGTACTATTATGATTAACAATGGCGAGATAAGTGTGTCTTGCTGCAGTTTTATCTCGACTCTTTACCTTTATTTAAATTACATAATGAGAAATTTTAAGACATTATTTTGTAGGTTGTTTTGGTTGCAAATTCACTCCCTGCTCTAAATGATGTCACTGCTATGGAGCTTCCTGATATTGTAGCTGAAGCTGCCAAGGTGGGTTTTAGTGCATTCATTTCTTCATTTACATTTCTAGGCATTTATATGTGCTTTAAAACAAAATCCAAGTGCCTTTGCACTCAAGTCACAGTTTTTGCTTTTTGATTTTTCTCTTATTCCACCATGAATGATTTGTAGAGAAGATTTTTCCTTTTCTATTTATTGGTTAATTTAATTAAATTGACACCATGATATCGAAAATACTTGCGTACATGAGTGCAAAACTAAATTTCCATGATAATTTGAACACGATAAACGTGCTGTCATATAATTAGGCAAAACATGGGCAACTGATATTTTTCTTGTTCCACAGCATTGCGACGTTCTCCGCCGAGCTGCAGAAGCAGGAGGCTTACTTGTCGATGCAATGGTCAGTGGCCAAGATGGTTCTAAAGAAAGTTCTTCTCTAGTTCCTTTGATGGTTGTTGAGAATGGGTGTGGAAGTCCTTGCATAGACTTGAGGCAGGTCAGCTCTGAGTTAGCTGCCGCTGCAAAAGATGCTGATTTGGTATGACTACTGACTTGCTAATAGACAAACCCTTTAAATGTTTTCATATTTCTCTGTTGGTCCTCTTATGTTGAGAAAAAATGGCGGCAAATTAAAAATGGAAAAGTACATAAATTATACTCTGATGACATAAAATTGTGCATTGCAGATTATCTTGGAAGGAATGGGCAGAGCTTTGCATACCAACTTCAACGCTCGGTTTAAATGCAATGCTTTGAAGGTTAGAATTCTTTCTACTACCATCTTTCGGTTTGTAAAACCGATTTCCCCTCTCCTTTTCCCTCAGCTTTTCACATGGTTTTTGGGACTTTATTGAATGAAAAACTTAAAAGTTAGTTTCCCAACAAGCCATTTTCATTTTGCCAAATTTATGAACTCTTTGTGTTAACATCGTGGATTATTTTGCAGCTTGCAATGGTGAAGAATCAAAGGCTGGCAGAAAAACTGATCAAGGGAAACATATACGACTGCGTATGCCGATATGAACCGGCACGTTAAGCAAAGTTAGCGTTGACAAGTAGTTGAAATTATACCAAATCTTTCAAGAGATTGAGAGGTCCTCAAAAAAGGATTTGTGGGTCTATGTCCAATCATCAAATAGTTTATACGCTTCTGATTTTCGTTCAACAGCAAAACTACTATTCAGATGGAAAACATCAGTTCCATTACATGCAACTTTCACCTTGTTAGAGGACTTGGGAGGTAGAGTTATGAAAATGCATGCAATGTTTAATCTTGTAACAATACGTATAGTGTGATGTATTCATACAACTAGGTCCAACTTCAGACGGAAAGGTCGAAGTGTTTAAGTAGAGAAATGGCTATTATCATGGTATTTGCACAAATGACAGTTTTTTTAATCTTCTTCCAAAAAAAAAAAGTCCCTAAACCTTTTTTTTTGTCCAACTTCAGACGGAAAGGTCGAAGTGTTTAAGTAGAGAAATGGCTATTATCATGGTATTTGCACAAATGACAGTTTTTTTAATCTTCTTCCAAAAAAAAAAATGTCCATAACCTTTTCTTTTTTTTCCTTTTGATTTATCCCTTTTTCTTATAAATCATTAATTTCCTCTCAAAATAATAATAATAAACCAGCGAGAAATGCCCGGTCAAAAATGGTATTAATCTTATGGGATTATAACCTCATTACACGCAAATAATGAAGGGATTCTATTACTTTCAAATGGCGAGCCCAACCTGTTGGACCCAAAAGCCCACTGTTAATTTGATGGACCCAATTGGTGAAACCACATGATCACTCTTCAACTTCAAGTGAAAAACAAACAGTGAAGAGGGACGCAATAAACTATGAGAAAACGAGAGACAAGCAAATAAATAAAGGGAAACTGAACTGGTAGTGATACATGGAGATTCCTAGTTTATGAGCCATTGCTTATGAACTCTCTCTCATTGGATGGAACAAGCTAAAACCATTCCAATTATAACAACATATTGAGATGAGAGAGTTAATCAAAAAGGCAGCAGCTAATAAAAACTACATTTAAAACAATAAAATAAAATAAAACAACAGTCCAATTAGAAACCAGCCTTGGAAAAAGCATTTCACCCCACTTCAAGTTCAAGTTAAGACTCAAGAGCAAGAACCAGCCATGGAGCTCACCTTACTGAGAAGCCCTTTAACCTCAGCCTCCAACTTGGCTCTCATCTCCGGTGAGAGATTGTCGCCTGACGTCTCGAGCATCGACGTCATCATCTGAAGGTTCTGCCTTATGAAATCGAGGGGAGGCGCGGCAGGCACCTGAGTTGAAGAGGCCAGAGTTGCACCCGAATTTCGGTTGGTTTCTAATGTCCTGGACACACTTGGGAGATGATGGAGCCTGTAGTTGACAAGGGCTGCACCAAAAGGGTTGTTTTTCTCTATACTCTTTAATGCTTCTGTAGCATCAGCACTTTTTGTAAACACAATTTGGGCGCTGCCCGGATCTTTCAAAAACCGAGTCTCGGATTCTTTCAGCGTTCCAAACTTTGAAAATGTTGAGACCAAATCTTCTCCTGAAGGCATTGGAACTCCCGGGGCAAAGGTCAAGAGAAGAGCAGTCCCTATAGTGTCTCTGTTGGTTTCCATTCGGTTATAACTTAGATTCATATCTGCTCTCCAAGAAATCGATATATTTCTTGGATAATTCAAAGCAACTTGTTCTTTTCGCCTCCGCCTTTTTCGCATGGGTTTAGCTGGCGGAGCAAGGCCATTAGTAGTCTCCTGACTTTCCTTCCCTAATGAGTTGGATTCAGTGCTGGCTCCATTCAAATCCGGTATATTTTTCGGTGCTTCTTTCTCCTTTCTCTTTCTCTTTTTTCGACCCGGTTTACCTTCTCCCAAGAGTTGGCCAATTGTCACCGGTTTACCTTCTGAGGGCAGACCGCATGTAGGTCGGTCCTTGGCAATATCTTGTAGATCCGCAGTGTAATCATTATTCAAACATGCTGAAGCCTCTCCAGGAACCCGTAGATCTACCACTAGTGTGCCAGGTTTAGCATTATTTCCATGAATGTCTAATAAGCCAGCAGTGGTATTCGCATTCGAATCCTCTAAAGCAGCTTCTTTCTCCACTTTCTTCAGCGGCTCGGTTTTGACCTCCAAAGTAACGTGACTCATGACCTGCGGGTCATCAGCCAATAAGCTCGGGGCAGCACTGCTTCCATTCAAGTCTGGTATACCGGTTGTTAGTTTGGCCTGAAGACAATCTCCATTCACTACTTCACCTTTCCTTTTCTTCCTTTGCTTAGCTTTGTTGTTCTTTAAGGCAGGGCCTATCTCTGACGCACCTCTTACTGATAAGCCATTAGTGGCAATGCTTTTACTCACATCTGACAGCCCAGAAAGGGCTTTAGTCTTTAATCTCACTGAATTTGGTTCACCATTTTTCTTTATCATTGAAGAATCTTGTCCCAAAGATGGATCGCGACTCTCATCCACGTCCTGTACACCAGATTCTGTACTTCCGATCGCATTCGACGAGTGGATGGTATGCTCAACCTGCGATGAATTTTCCTTTTTCTTTGATCTCTTTCGCTTGGGTTTATCGGGGAGGATCACTTGCAAGTTCTCCAGCGCATTGTCTCCTGACCAGCAAGATTCAGCACCATTAGCCTCATTCCCAACAGACTCCTCATTAAACACTGAAATCCTGAATCTGGACAGAAACCAGCAAATCGGATCAAAGTTGTTATTTCCATTCGGATGTAGACAGTCGACGGCAGCAGAACGAAGTTCACAAAGCAGCTCAGCTGAAGCTGCAGTTGTTAACTCTGAACCCGTAGGTATGTGACTCGCACCAGTAAATCTCCTATACCATTTCCTCCAAAACTTCTCTCCATTGCTTATGTTACTTTTGCTAACGGCCGTGCTTGCTTCCGGAGTAACTTTTTGAACCTTGGGGCCATCCATTCCAGCTGCGCCTTTCTGCTCCCAGTTTGTGTATGGATAAGACAAGTACCTGCTCTTCTTCCGCTCTCTTGAATTGAATCCTGTGTCGATCACACCCTCTTTCTCTAATCCTGTGTCAATCACACCCTCATTCTCTAATTCTGTGTCAATCACCCCCTCTTTCTTGCGAGCAATATCTTCAACTTTAGCTTCAGAATCTCTCTTCCTCTTTCTCTTCCTAGATTCACTGGACACAAAACCTTCTTTAGCAACGTTACTCTCTAGCCCAAAAATTTTATCCTCTTCAGTTTCTTTCTTTTCTGCAAGTATACGCATTGGCAGTTGCCTATGGCCAACAGAGCAATAGAACGCTGATAGGCGATTATGTGTGACAGTAAAATCAAGCATGTGAGGCATGGAAACAACCTCCGCAAGATATTTGAGATGTTCAAGAAACATTACAGGTTCGAAACAAGTGACTGAAAATTCTCCAAGTCTGCCAGATTTGAGCTCGGGCTTTAGAACTTCTTCAACAACTAATGCCTCATCAGCAGACAGTTGATCATGCACCGAAGCACATGAACAAGTCATCTCCCGCTTCACACGCCTACCAAACTCGTCAACAGCTTTCTCCACAGCTCCAAGAAAGATTCTAGCCCCATTTTCCCCTGACTTCCGCTCGAAGTTCTCATGAAAAGGATTCAATTGAGATGAACGGCACCAGGCAAAGTGGCTGATTCCATAATACCCGACTAGTAGATCGTCCCCCTTGCCACTCCTTGTAGCATATTTTGGCGCCTCTTTAGGATCGTGAATCTTTCCCGGCCACCATGTTTGATTTTTGGTTTGAACCCATACAATATCACCCACCAAAAAATCACATTCTCGATTATCAATACTCTCTCCTTGCTCTTCACCAGCATCTTCTTTTAACTTCTCCTTAGTATTCATCAAAGGAGAAGAATTTCCTACATCAACATCCTTCTGTGTGTGTCTACTAGGAAAGCCACTAATTTCGACAAACAGCGATATACCCTCAGTCGAAACACCTATCTTCCTAGATGAATCAATCACATTTGATTCCAACTTTTTATCTTCACTTGTACCCTCATCTTGAACCATCTCTATACCTCCAAAATCCTCATCTCCATTTCTTCCCAAGTCAACTAATTTCCCTTCTGATTGTGACTGTACCAAACCGAATTTAGCCTCATTTTCCTCTTCACATAATGGCGACTTAGTTAAATCCCTTTTTGCCTCTTTTGCCCTATCAACACAATCATTATTGACCAAAAATCCCATCTCCTTTCCACCACCATCAATTCTTTTTTCAACTTCTACTATTTGGGATTCCAATTCCACATTCTTAGTATCAACATTTGCTTCAATGGGAATGTCAAAAATAGGAGCTAACCCAGAGAAACTTTCAGTTATACAAGAAGACCCAGAAGCTTCTTTTGGAGTTTTCTCACCTGGGTTTTCGGCCTCTAGGGTTTCTGGGGCTTGGGGATTCTCCTCCATTCCCAAAAATGTTCTGGAAACTTCTTCACCTAATTTTCCCACTTCACCATAACTTCTAATAATCACTTCAAAGCTGATCAACAAGAAGAACAAAAGAAAAATAACTTTAAAAAAATAACAGAGAGAGCTTTATATTCATGGAAGATCCAATGGACAAACAAACTAAATAAAGATGCAAACTTTAACAAGATAAGAGCAAAAATAAACTAGTGTTTAACACAGAATGAAAAATAAAGAGCCCAAAAACACAAAAAAAATAAAATAAAATAAAATAAAAATAAAAGATTTACCTGAATGGTAGTGATTTGAGTAAAAGAAGCTTGAAGGAAACAGAAATTAGAAAGTACAGAAAATTATGCTGAGGAGAGAGAGAGTTTGTGTTTAAAGTGGGAATAAGCTAAAAATTTATTTTTTTCAGCTCTGAGAAAATGAAAAATTATTTAAGCAACAGATACGGCACATATTGTGAGGAGAGAGAGAGAAGTGTGATGAGTGTGTGTACTAAAAAAATGAAAGGTTCTTTCCTGTGGCTTCTGAAAAGTTGCGTACCAAAGTCACTATCATGTCTTTCGATTCATTTGATTTTACCGAGTCAATAACATTATCTAATCAAGTAAATCCTATTTTCGATTAGCAAAAAAAAAAAAGTAAATCCTATTTTCTTACCAAAAAAAAAAGTAAATTCTCTATAAGCTTTTTTTTTCGGATTCCGTAATAGACATTGAAAAAAATAAATAAGAAAGTTTCTTTGAATAGAAGTAGAAAAAAATAACTTACAATTAGTTTTTTATTTTTTAACTGTTAATTTTGTATTAAAAATTATTTTTTCTATATAAATTTTTAATTTAACGTGATTTTAATAAAATTTAACAGTTAAAAACTGACTCTATTGGTAAAGAGATTTACCAGAAAAAGTCTTAATAAATTATTAATAAGATTCAAGTTTTAAACCGTTAAATTTATATTAAAAATATATATTTTATATATTTTTTTAAACAAATGTGATTTTCATTAGACCTTATGGTGAGAAACTGGACCTACATTTTTTTTCGATTCATAGGGTAAAAGTAATTTATAGAATTTATTTTCATTCTTTATGAATTCTAAAGAATATTTACTTGTATTTATTTTGATTCTCAATTTTATTTATAATTAACAAAATTTTATGATGTGTCACCGAAATGTAAGAATTTTATATTTATGCCACTTACGTTTATAACATTAACTGATATAAATGTAAAGATAGAATCATTTGAGTGACATTCTGCATTTCTCTCACGTTAACTTTTAAAATCTATGTTTATGGCCCCGTTCATTTCGCCGATTCGAGTTTTGTTACAGTAAAAAGCTCTCATAAACAGTCACATCTAACTTTTTTGCTACAGTAAAAAGCTCTCACATAAAATCACATCTCAATTCGAATTATAAACTCGAATCAGCGAAGTAAACGGCCCTATTATAATAAAAAGTCAGATTCCATTCCATCCAATATTAATTAATTTTTATTTATATTTATTTTTTAGATTTGTTTTGTCTTTCTAACCATTATATTCCTTTTAAAACAATGTGTTATTATTGTGCTAGACTTAGCCTTTAAATAAAGTTTATAGAGTGTTAAAGTGTATATCCGAGATTAATATAGCCTTGACATTTATAAGATAGCTACACTTTTAAAAATAAATATTCGAGATTAAAATGAGATGCGCAAATATTCTCGCAAGCTATTAATGAACACACCCCAAATTTATGGGACTTTAGATTTAGATAATAAATAATAATAATAATCTAAGCGGTTAAAATTTAAGTTAATATTTAATAGAGTCTAATTTTATAAAATGAGGTTCAATAAAAAATAATAATAATAAGAGTTCAGAATACTTAAAAAGGCGTTTCACCTACTCACTTTCTTTCCCTCTGTTAGGGTTTATTCTTTTTATTTTTTGGTGTAAATGCTTTGTCTCAACAAGGGAGTTCTAAAGGCTGGAGTTTGGTGCTGCCTAGAGGCGGCATCTCTCTCTGAGATAGCATACAGGCGGCGTGCCGACGTAAGAGTTCTTTTCTCTTTGGAGACTTTGGTCTTTGTGGAATGGAGGATCAATGAAGGGGGCATCCTCCCTAGTCAGCAGAGGAGGGCGGCGACTTGTGGTTCTCTCACATTAGAGGCTCACTCTTTTTTTTTAGGATCTCTTTTGTGTCGCCAACAGTGTTACAGTTTTCTTGTCCATTCTTAACGGTGGTCGACTTGTCACCAGAGTTTTCGTTGTTGTTACTTGGCTTTTACCTTTTTGTTTTAAATTATGTGTTTGTCAAATAAAAATTATGATATTTTTATTTTTTAGATTTAGTGTGTTTTAGTTATTTTACTGCCTTTCTCTTGTAATAATAGAGGTAGTTATCTACCTTTTGGGTCTTTATTTTGTTCTCTAATATGGAGTTTATGTTATGGCATTTGTGCTACAACATTGTTATGCCTCTCAATCAATCGAAAGTTTCTATCAATTGCAGGATTTTGATAAAAAAAAGACTTTTTATATGAGTTTGTTCTTAATGCGCCGAGGTATTTCTTATTTTTGGGCCTCTAGCATACATTTTACTTACGAAAATTGTAATAAGTAGCTGATTTTTTTTAAACTAAATTAAGTAAATAGCATATCTTAAAACTATTTAAAGTAAATAGTAATTTACCGTGTAAATATTTCATTTATGACCGGTAAAAATAAATTTACGTGGTAAGACATCTTTATTTACATGAAGAAAATATCTTTTTACCAGTCATAAAAAGATAATTTATGCGGAAAAATATCTTTTTAATAGTCGTAAATGAAACATTTACGCAGTAAACTGTTATTTACTTCAAATAATTTTAAAATACGTTATCTACTTCAAATAATTTTAAAATATGTTATTTACTAATGTAATTTCATAAATCTATTATTTAATACATTATCCCTTTTACCTATTGAGTGTGATTAGATTGTACCAGTGGAAGCGGTTTCAATTGAGAGTTATGCCTTTATTCACAAGAATAAAGATCGTTGTCCCATATTCATGTCTCAATGGCTGTCTATTTAATTAAATTTTGACAATTTGTGATTTGCTTAAGTACTTTTAATAATTTACTTCTATTTATATGGTTAGATTTATAAATTTAAATGACATAATAAATAATAAGGGAGGAAACAGCCACTAAAATAGAAAAACAACAGAAATAACAGATTTGGACTCCACATTCACGTTATACTACTTTAATCAGTATAGATGAAATGAAAATTCTCTTTAAAAGAAAAAAAGGAGTTTCAATAAAATAAAAATGGAAAAGGCGTTTCACAATGAGACTAATCGTGCCACATGACTGTGAAAAAAATAAAAAAACGGCCACTAACGAGATATCTTACCATTTTATCTTCCTAAATGATTTACCAAAGTCCAAAGATAAACGGTACTATTGGGATCTCTTACCATTTTTGGCATAAATTATATGTTTTTGTCCTTTGCCCCTTTTGCTTTCACATTTATTTTATCACATGCTCCTTTTATATTTATTCAGCAAAAAAAAAAAAAAATCGTTCATTTTATATTTAATAAAACAATTTCATAATTGAAAATCATTAAAAAAAACAATTTCATAATTATCCTCCTCAGCTCCACATAAATACAAGGTTTGTTTTGTTATATTACTAATTAAAAAAGAACCATCTATTATATCTAAAAATATCAACTATTTATCTTGCCAATTAGAAAATATCTATTATATTAAAAAATATCAACTATTTAATCGATTAAATTTTAAAAATACTAAAAAGTGCTCTCAATAATTTGTATTAGAATACTCTTTTTTCCGCGCTTTTAAGGCTGACACGTAGGGGCACTTAATGTTCTCTTTTTTTTTTTTTTACTTTACTTTAATTCTTCACTCCTCAATTATTTTTTATTTACATGATTGGCCTTTATCTATATTTCTTCTAATTTTTCGATCTTTTTTTCACATGTATTTTCAAATCTATTTCGCTAAATTATTTTTCTTCTCTTTAATTTCTGAGTCAAAATTTTTTACAAATATATGTTTACTCAAGTAATTTTCTTACAATCCTCCATATATTTTAGATTACATGTGTTTGACTTTTTTTTTTCTTTATTACTCCACTGCAATATTTTTCCTTGAATAACACTTTAAGCAAACATTTTTCCCATTCTTATAATATTTTATGTCTTTTTTTAAATATGTTTATATTTTTTTAAAAATCGAAAAAGATACTGAAATAATGACGCTTATATATGCACTTACGTAAACATCTTTTTCTTTTTCATATGTACACTCTAATTAGTTTTTTATTTAATTTGTCCATATCAAAATATTTATTTTAGCATGTTTGATTTTATTTATGAAAATACATCATTCAACAAAAACAACATTGTAATTGAAACACACATTTTGATATATTTATTTTTTAAAATATATTTTTTTAATGCGTTTCATCAACAATTGTACATATATATAATTTTTTAAATCTCTTCTACTAATATGTGTTTAAAATCAAAATGAGTTTTTCTAATAAATTGCTCATGTGACACACACGGCAATATGTGCAAAGCGTGTCACAAAAACTAGTATTTAAAAAAGAAAAGAAAAAAAAAACAGAAAATAAACCAAAGATCCAGTGATCTTTCCATTTGTCCCCGCTGAATATGCTGAGATGTTGATGCCACGGCTGGCATCGAAGCTTGGATTGTCGTGTTATGATTTTAGAGCCCCATCAAAATAAATAAATAAAGACTATTTATGTAATTTGATATTTAGTTGCAATAGAATTATTATATATTTTGTATATTAAATTCCTATTTACTTTTAGATGATTTTATGATTATGAGAGAATGTAACGGATCCAAGATTATATCAATAATCTTTTAGCTATGTATATGAAGTTGGATATTATTTTAAAGGTAAATCCTCTTTCATTGGCTATTCAAAATATTGTTTAAATGTTTATCCTATCAATGTATATTTCTTGTTGGCTCTTTCATCTTTGACTTCAATAGTGAATTTTAGAGCTAACAAAACAGTTTCTCTTGCTGGATTAGAACTAACAAACAGTTGATTGTCTTTTCTTTCTTTTCTTTTTTTTTTTTTTCTCTCTCAAAGTTAGTTGCTTTAGATACAACAATGATATAATATCCACTCTTTTTTTTTTTTGTTGACTCCATCACATTATTGCTTAAAAAGAATCATGACTTTTCTAAAAAGATAAACCTTTTCTTTTTCTTTTTTTCGTTTTTTTTTCCCTTTGTAGGGGTGCAATGGGACTAGAGATTTCAATTTCTTATATGGCCTTAAACATGGCTTAGTAATAAAAGTAGGTTCATATATATTTGAGAAAATCACATAATTTACCCTATGAGTAAATAAGTCTGAATTTTTACCTTTTATTATTAATTAATACTCTTTTACTAGTATATTTATTTGACTACAAATATTATTAATTAAAAGTGAAGGGTAGAAATCTAATCCATACACTTTTAAACGGTATTTTTCTTTTTTTCTGTTCATATTTCCATGTTTATCATGACGGACTTTCATTTTTAAGCATTTTTAAGCATGACTAAGCTTTGGGCCGAAGACAAAAGGTCCATCATATTTATCCCAAAAAAAGGAAAAAAAAAATTGGATATTTGTTTGAAAGGAAAAATTGGATATTATGTCCCTCTTAAATCACTTATTTAATTTTGTGGCATTCTCTTAAAATTTGATCCTTTTAAGTTAATATATTAAAAGAATATTAAGAACGAAAATATCACGAAGACATAAATGTTATGCTTCCTCTTCAGATGAGCATTTAAATTGCTTATCAAAAGATTGCATTAGCAATAGCATACCTTCTTGGGTGTCAACATACCCCATGAACGTTACCAAAAGAGCTATCGTAAACATTTGACACGAATACTCGTTGAAGGCCTTAATGTGACCCCTATCCCTAGATGAAGAGTGCCAAGCGCGTCAACTTAGGAGCTATCGTAAACATTTGACACGAATACTCGTTGAAGGCCTTAATGTGACCCCTATCCCTAGATGAAGAGTGCCAAGCGCGTCAACTTAGGAGCTATCGTAAACATTTGACACGAATACTCGTTGAAGGCCCTAATGTGACCCCTATCCCTAGATGAAGAGTGCCAAGCGCGTCAACTTAGGAGCTATCGTAAACATTTGACACGAATACTCGTTGAAGGCCCTAATGTGACCCCTATCCCTAGATGAAGAGTGCCAAGCGCGTCAACTTAGGACCACTCAACACTCGATCCTCTAACCACAAACTTAAGTCCACAACAATCTTTTACCGCGAAGCCACCACACTCGGGTGCCTCAAAACATTTGTTTTGTGGCTGTGAGAATCATTTTCAATGGTGAGATTTATCCACCGAACATCTAAATCTGGGGTTGGTTACCATCTCTCATATAAAAACCAAATAGGAGGGGGAAAAAAAAGAAAAAAAAAAGAAAAGAAACACATGTTCGAATGGAAAACCCGATTCAAATCAGATACAAGTCTAATAATTATTCCTTTTTAATCTTCTACCAATGGTCACTGAGCATCCACCCGCATTACAAAAATTCAGATTTGGAATATAAGAAATTTCCAAAATCATAATGCTGGAAAAATAAACGTCAAAGAAACTGAGACTCTACTCCATAGTTGCAACTCCTCCAGCAGCCTTTATTTTCTCAATGATCTCTGCTGCCTCTTCTTTAGTAACTCCTTGTTTAAGCAAAACAGGTACTTTCTCAACCAGATCTTTAGCCTCCTTCAATCCCAGATTGGTAAAAGCCCTGACTTCCTTAATCACTTTAATCTTCGCCGCTGCATCAAACTTCTCCAACTTCACATCAAACGCTGTCTTCTCCGCTTTCTTCTCTTCAGCTTTGGCGCCACCAGCCGGCCCTGCTTGTGCACCCAAGTCCAGGCCTTCTGTCGATATGTGCTGCAGCTTAGGAAGGGTTAGCTTCTGTGCTAGAGCAGGACCAATTTGGCAGCGTTCTTCGGGGGTTAATTCCACAATCTGTTCAGCAAGCTGAATGATTTTCTCTGAGGGTGACGGTCTTGGACCGTATGGGTTGTAGAATGCCGGATACTTGTACTTCTTTGGCTTGGCATTTGGATCCCTCGGAATGAAATCATGTTGAAAGGAACGATGCTGCAAAGGCCCTGTTACTTTCCAGAGCAGGGTCGAACCGCCACGAAATGATCTAACGAGCGCGAAAATCCTCATAGCGTTGTGTATCTATGAGAGCAATATCTCATGAAGAACAGAATGCTACAAACTTTTACGTGACCTGCATTTCAACCGAGCAGTTGCAACATCATCATATTTATCGAAAAAGATTCGATCTTTATTCACATCAACATTTTCTGCGAAAATTCAAATTGTACTCAACACTTTTGCATTTCAACCGAGCAATTGCAACGCCATAATATGAAACGAAAAGAATTCCTCTTTTTATCCACAACTTTATCTGGTGGACTTCATTTGCAGGAAATAGAATTGATCTCAAAATGCGCTTTCTCAAAAGGTAGTTATAAAAGAAACCAAAAACTCGTTTTTCAAAGAATTCTCACCATTTAAACGCGTTTGAAACAGTTTTTTTAAGTAAGGCGTTTACACAAACAGTTGGTGGGTGTGGTAACATCACACGAATAACTTCAGTCCGTACCGTGTAATAACGATCACAGGGAAAGGAGAAGAACTATTTAGAAACAAAACCTCAAAAAAAAAAAATCATGTCTAAATCTTATAACAGCTTTTCCAAACAAATCGAAATGGAAGCAACAAATGATTCAGAAAAATATGTTTCCGAGAATTCAAAAAAAAAAATCAATCAATAAGGGAAAGGAAAACGCGAATGGTGGTATGCCCAGGTGATGAAATTTCGTCTTAATGAGTTTGAGTTTCACTTTGTATACTACTGGGTATTTATTTCCCCGCAGAAGAACAATTGCCCACCAAAAATTAGATTATAAAATGCAACGAAACAAAACAAATCATGTATCAACAACACAAGCTACTCAAATTTTAAAGCACCTGAAAGAAATAGAAAAAGAGATGACTTTGATCTCCTTCCGCGAGCGAGAAAGAGGAGGAGAGTGGCGCCACTAAGCTGGTAAGCTTATGTTTGGTGAGCGAGAGAGAAATTGTTATGAGATTTTTTTTTTTTTTTTTTTTTTTGGAAGAGGGTTAATTTTGCGTTTTGTGAAGAGCGTTAATTATGCGTTCTGTCATTTTGAATTTTTTTTTTTTTTGATAAACTTGATCTTTAAATTTTTAATTTTACTAAATGAGTTTCGGATTTTTTTTTTAGTTGTTTTGATCATAACATTAAAATTAAGAAAGGATTATAAAAATTTCATAGAAATAATCGCATTGAATAGTTTAGTTATTAAAATTTTCTATGAGTTAGTTGCACTGAATGTAAAATGTTATATTCATTGTTGGACGAAATTTTAAAAGTCACTCATCAATTTTAATGTTAGAGAGTAAAATTGCAATAAAAAATAAAAAATTAAGGACTACTTTATTAAAATTGGGAATTCAAGAACTAAAGTGACACAATGCCTATTATCTAGAGACTAATAATGCTAATAGCCTAAAAAGAAAATGGTAAGGAAAGAAAAGGGGATAACTTAGAGAAGGGGTAAACTTTGGATGCGTTAACAATAATTTTCTAAAATTTAATTGGGATTAATCAAAAATTAGATTTGATTCTTTTTCAGATTAGGTTTTATTTTGATTTTTGAATAGGTTTAGTTTCCTATAATTTGAATTTCAATTCTAGATTGGACAAGTTTGAATCCTCTGGGCATTAGTTACACGTTTATTTTTCAATTGATTGATTAAGGTTCTGTTCATTTCACCGATTCGAGTTTAAAATTTGAATTTTGTTACAGTAAAAAGCTCTCAGAAACAGTCACTTTTAACTTTTTTATTACAGTAAAAAACTCTCACATAAAATTACATTTCAACTCAAATTAAAATCTCGAATCATCAAACTAAACGAGCCCTAATATAATTTCAGAGATTATTATCTCTTTTTGCTTTTTTTTTGGTATTTTTTTAATCAACCAAATACTCGTATTTTCGGGTTTTTAATATTCTTTGGCCTCATTCACTTTGCAGATTCGAGTTTTCAATTCGAATTGAGATGTGACATTTTTTGAGAACTTTTCACTGTAGCAGAAAAAATTAGATGTGACATTTTCTGAGAATAAAAACCTAAAATTAAAAACTCGAATCGGTGAAATGAACGAGCCACTTGTAAATCAATTGACTACAGGTTTTATCTACGCTTCTGCTATATCATTTGATATCCAAGCCTAATCGATTATGTACCAATTTTTGTTTCGGGATAACCCCAATTCGCAGAAGTGTTCCTCACCAGGCCGCACCTGTGGTTGCCACTGCCGCAAAAGTTGAACTTCTCCCTTTGGCATGCGGTTCCACCACCAACCATTGTTAAAGATGTGATTGAAGATGATCCGTTCGAGCCGCCACCAATCTTTGACGAAGACTCCTTTGGTGAAGATGATTTCCTGAATGATGTTTTTTTTTTTTTTTTTTTTTTTCCTATTCCGGTCGATGAAGGACCAATATTAAAGAGGATTTTTCCAAAAGCATCATTTCAACGATTTCTTCAAGTTATTCGCAACAAAATTGGGTCCTTTAGAATTTGTAAAGCAGAATATTCTTCGCTCAAATCAATGGAAGCCAACTTTAGATTCGAGGACGAATCGCCGGAGGGAATGATGCAACGAAGAAAGAAGCTTTGGGAGTTGTATCACAACAACCAATCTCCAATTTTAATTTCAAATTTTTAAAATAGGATAAGATTCTTTAATTTGAATTTCGGGGATAAGATGCTTTAATTTGAATTCCAATTTTAAATAGGGCAAGATTTTTTTAATTTCAATTTCAAAAGTCTTTAGTTAAAGAGGATTAACTTTACTTTTATTTTGTAATGGTTGATTAATAGAATTTCAGAGATTATTATCTCTCTATGCTTGTTTTTTTTTTTTTGAATTAACGAAATACTCACACACTCGTTTTTCCAGTATTCTCTATGAATCAAGGGACTACGAGTTTTATCCTACACTTCTGCTACATCAAAAATTATGTTTATTATATCATGATAGATTAAAATTTAATAAAAATAAACATATAGAAATAAGATATTACCTTTTATACCTATAAAAATGCTTGAAAACGGGCTGGTCGACCTCGCTTTTATTTGTGCCAAGCAGGTATATTCTCATTAGGTCTCGATACTTGTGTTCGTCTTTATGCTTCATCTGTTTTTATTAGTGGATTCAATCAATGTCCGGGGTTGAATTACCTTGTAAGTTGTTGTCATTTGCGACTATTTATGTAATTTGTTATTTATTAATGAAATTTTCAGTTAAAAAAAATTATGAGAATGTAAAGAGAAACGCCACCGTTTTTAATGGCAAAAATGCCGAATTTCTTCGTTGAGACCCCAATGTATAGGGGTGATCTTTTAATAAATGGCCAGAAAATTTTAATTTTGAATGACAGTAGATACGTAAAACGACGAGTATGAACGCAACTATACATGAAAGGAGTCCTTGGTTATGCTATATAACGTATTTTCTCTAATAATAATAATAAAAAGAAATATAGGTGTCACTGGTTATGCTATATAACCTGATAAGATAGAAATTCGATGAACCTTTTTTGGATTCGTTAAAGAGTGAAAACTTTCTTCGCTGATTTATCTTCCTATACTTTCCCAGAAATAATCCAAACTGTCTACTAAAATAAAAATAAAAATAAAAATAAAAATGAAAAAAAAAATTACACTTGCACATTCAAGAAGTTTGATTCTAACATTGTGTCTAAACTGAAATAACACGCAATTCAGGCTAAAACATCTTCATGCAATATATATCAATAAAAATACATAAACAATGACTTCTTTTTATGAAGTCCTATGAACTAAGCAGAACTGTAAAACTTATTTTCAAAATGGCAAAGCGTAAAGAGCTAGAAAAAGGGGAGAAAAATCAATCAATTATCATCGACAAATGTGGCCAAATGTGCCTTTAGATGGTCAAAAGAAGCAGCTAGCACAGGTTAAAACTGGATCAGAAGCTAGTCCTTTATACCAGTGAGGATTGCAAGAATAGCTAGTTACTAATAAATCTGATATGTTTGATTTTTTGTTTCTAATAATTAAGAATAGCTAGTTACTAGCTTCAAGGATTGCCTGTTTCTCAGGAATTTCATATTAAAATTACAAATGAGTCTTAAATCATATTCCTAAACCATCGGTCCTAAGTCATATTCCTAAACCATCGGTCCTAAAAAAACTGAAAACACAAACCATATTCCTAAATCTCTCTCAAATCCAATCCATATTCCTAAACACTGATTAAACCATCGATCCAAACACAGAACAAACATTGATCAAACCATAAACAAAAAATCATAAATCCAAACCATAAACACAGATCAAATCATCAACACGAAAAGAAGTAAAAACCACAAACATAGATCAAATCATCAAAACGAAAAAAAAAATGGACAAGGGAAATACCTGAAACAAGGCTGCCGAATGCAAGCCTTTGAAGACTGATCTGACAAAGACATGAGAAGTACACGCCTTCACGAAGGCCGATCTGACGAAGAAATGAGAAGCAGCGGCGGTGGAGAGAAGAGAGGAGCGGCGGTGGGTGACTTCTGATGAAGAAGAAGAAGACGAGGCGAATAAATAAAGGTATGGCCGCAAGGGTGGGTGACTTCTAAGAGAAAGAGAGGGCCACCGTGAAGAGGAGGAGCGGCGGTGGAGAGAAGAGAAGGAGCGGCGGTGGAGACTGTAGAGGAGAAGGAATAGGCGAGCGGCGGGGGAAAGAGGGAAAAAAAATGAGAGGAAAACCTGCTTCCAAGTTCTAACTGTTCAGCCTTTTGTTTAATTGTTTTGTATACTATTAGTTTATTAGTTTATTAAATTGTTCTGAATAAATATCTCCGGTAGAGATGAAGTAACAACCTTTTGTTTTAAAATATATATATATTTGTAAAATATGTAATAAACGGGTTGTAATTGGTTTATCTATTCGTGTTATTAAAATACGACACATTTAATAAATAAATAATGACGGGTTAATTGTAGGTGGGTATGTTAACTTAAAAACAACACATTATTTAATCGTGTTTTACAAATTTAACTTGATTTTAACCCGTACTTATTTAAAATAAATTTAAATCTATTAATTTTATGTGAATTTTAAATTATATTATCGTGTCGCTATTTAAATTGTCAGTTTTAAAAAAGACAGAAAATGAAAACAGCAACGATCTGAAAAAATAATAATAATAATAAAAATAACAGTGAAATAATAATAATAATAAAAATAACAGTGAAACAAAAGCAACGAGAAAAGTGCAAAACTAACAAACAAACAAGAGTCAAAAGACACTAGCAAAGAAACGACAAAAATATTAAAATGACAATACTGTATGAACAGAGGTTCTTGCATGATAAACAGCAATCATAATGTTTAAAATTTTATCAGTTGTTTTCTTTCCATAAAAGAAAGAGTTTCAAATTTTGTATAAGAAGTTTAAAATTTTATCATAATATTTTTTTTATTTCTTATTACACAATCTAAATAATATTTGATTTCACCAGACACTTCTAAAAATATGAAAATATGCTAACTACACAACTATAACTTTTCTTTATCTTGTCCAAAGTATAAACAAAAGAAACGTGGAACGAACGAAGAG